TTTTTTAGTTTTTTCTTTTTGTAAAAATTCCACCTCAAGTCTTGTTAGTTCTACTCATCTAAACTTACAGATCACCTCATTATTTTTCCAAACAACGGTAAACCAGCGGAATTTTCTTGGTGAATTTGTATCCGTTTTTTGTTTTGTTGTTTGTTTTTTGTTTATTATTATTATTATTTGATATGGGCGCAACATGCTGCCGTAATCACAGTGTTATTATCCTAATTAGAAATGTGGTTACTGTATGAAATGATCTCTTGGTTGCATCTGGTCATAGATTCAATAATCTTATGCTTGAAAATGTCTACTTTTTTGTACAGTGTTGGGCTTTTGCTTTTTGCTTGTTTTATTGGAGTTAACATGCTTTCCATGCTCACTTACCTCATATCCTTTTGAGATACGTAGATACTTTTATTTATTTATCTCCACCTTTTAACCCGAGTAAGACGGTAGATGTGAGTAAAATGATACAAAGAACCAGTTTGTATATTGTGTACAATAATAAAGAGGGTAACATGAAATTCACATCATGTTATTTCTGTACTTCTTGTTTTTTGTTTTTTTTTTAATGTCCCATACAGCTCTTTTGTGTTTTTGGTTTTTTTCCCCCCTCGTGTTAAACAGGTTTTTACATAATTTATAAAAATGTCAGTTTGACGTTGATTCAAATGTAGAATTGTAAAGGAAAAAAATCACACACACAAAATCTGATACTCTGTACTCCAAATACGGCTGTTTCAAAATGACTTTTGGAGATTTTATCTGCTGTACTCAATGAGTGTAAGCTTTTTCTCTTTTTTTTTTCTTTTTCTTTTTTTTAAACGACAACAAAAACAATAAATAATAGTTTTCCTAGTGTGTCAGTTTGATATTGTGTCTATCTTCCCTTCTTTTCTTTGCCATGAATGTAAGGACATACATAAGGAGGATTATCTGCAGGCCAGTCACTCAGCTGGGTTGGGGGGGAATAAAACAAACATCTTAATTTACAGTATTATACTTTAAAATAGTCAAGTGTATAAAGAATTGACTTTAGATTTTAATTTTTTAAGCTACTTCACACTGACCTATTGATCGTTTAAGCATAAAAAGGTACAATTCAAGGGATGAACCAGTGATATGTCTACATTAACAGACAGCTTAGCAAAGCTAAGCTTTTAAATAGTATCTTTAGGCACAACATCCATCTGTTGCATTTTTTTTTAGTCCATCCATGAACACAATTTGGAAGACAAAATAATATTTTGCACCAACAATGTGATTCTCAAAGAGCTTTTAGCCAGCTGGACAAGTGAAGGATCTCTGAATCAAAAAATATCTGCAGATGAACAATATCTGAAAGTCATGACCTAAAGAAGTAGGATTTTTTTTTATTATTTTTTTTAAAGCCTCAAAAATGTTCTTAATGGAAGAGTGGCTGTCAGGAGGCCATTGTTACAGAAGGAAAACAGAACAATCTGAGGTAATAACAAAAGAACTGGACTGAAATATCAGTGGCAACAGATCTGATGGAATGACAAATTACTTTTGTATTGTCTGACAGTATACAGTGCCTAAATAAAATTGTATTGAATGCTTCAAATTCTGAATATATACAGAAGAGGTCAGGAGAAACATGCAACAGTGACTACAGCCATTTGTAACACATGGCGGAAGCTTTGATGTGGTTTATGCTGCATTTTAGTCAGTGATGTTGAGGATCTTGTCAAAAATGATGCAATACCATCTGGAAAGTGCAGAAGAGAATTGGGGCAACTGGGGAAAAAACTGAAAAAAGACATGCCCAATTTTGTCTTTTACCAGTGGCCCTAACCCTATTCCACAGTATTGACACATATATGTGTGCATGTTTCAATAAACTGCTGCACCTACTTGCCATTTTCCAACAAACAAACAACAAGCAAATAAGCTTTTTTTTGTAGCGTAATCTGAAGGATTCAAAAGATAAAAGTCACATGTAAATATAAACCTGCTTTTATTAAGGAAATGTAATAAAATCCTTTGTACATGACCCCTCCACAGAGGTTCACTGTGTCCATACATGCAACTCTCATGGTTGAGGTACTGTTACAAATGAACTGGAAAAACTAAACCAAATCAGATGTCATTAACAGACACTAACTAAACCAGGGTCAATTTCGATCTGCAGTTTGTTTAAAACTATTACCAAATTCACATGCACTTTTTTCTGGGGAATAAAAGGATGAGAAAGTCTGATATACTAAACAAATGTAGGCATACATTGTTTGTAGCGGTTGTAGGTTCTTTTCCCCCCCACTATTCAGTATATAAAAATTTCACTTATACAAACAGACAAATGTTTCATTCGTTGCTCTTCCCTCAATGTACAGTTTCACCCCTCTGCATAATGCATAGACACAGAAAGCTTTTCACGACCAAAGAAGCTATGGTGTGTTATCATTTACCAACAAAAAAGAGATGTTGAGAATCACAGCTGCAGATACTGCGCTTACATGAGAACAGCTTCTAAAGTGTGTACAAAGTGTAAACCATAAGCTCAGTTAAACCATTTGAATGTTCGGTTTACATCAAAAGGGGTCACCTTCCTAGCCTCTAAAGTATTTATGAATCTTTTGATTTCAACAATATGGCATTAAGTGATCAAACACGGGCCTCATTTCAATAAAAGAATCGCTTCTTTTCAAAGAGTGGCAGCTGAAAGAAATGCAGTCGCACAAAGTCGATTCAAAACAAGCATCTAAAACAGATTCAGTCGTATGTGACGTCCAGCTGGCTTTGAAAATGACACCACCTAAGCTGTTTAAGATGACCACTAATTTCACATTATCGATATTTTCCGAGTAAAAACCTGGATTCACTATTGTCAGTTAAATTGATCTTAACCCTAGTGTTCGATGCTTGTCCTAGATATTCTGATACACTGAAAAAAAGCTTATAGTAAAACAAGAAAATGACTTTACTTCACTAAATATAACATTTATCCAACTTAAGAGTTCACCACAAAAATATGTCTGTAAAGGATTCAAATGACTAAATAAGTAATCCAGGATTTTGATTTCAAATCATGGCTTTTTTTTTTTCTGTCTTCTTCTTCTTTAAAATAGAAAACAACTGAAATTACAACAGTTTGTTTGTCATTTGAAACAATGTTTTGCCCTACTTCCACAGATTTTTTTTATTTATTTATTTTTTATTTTCAAGTGAATTAAATTTTTAAATTGCATTGCCATGATGCAGAAATGCTCCATAAGGCACTACGAGAGGCAAATCCCATGTTTCCAGAAGCAAAAGTCCTGTTGCAACATTGCCCTCTGTTAGTGTGATGGGTTCATAACCCAAAATGAGCACTTGTTGACTTGTAGGCTTGTGTCCAAGTTGGTGACAAAGAAGGCCGTTGCCTCCAGGACGCCAACCACGGAGTGTCGGGGTCACACAGAGTGGCAGTTTCCATCCAGGATCACCGGCGGGAATCGAAACAATTCACCTGTGTGAAGCCAGAAGATGTGCAAAAGAGAGTCAAATGAAAAACTGCCGTGTGTGGGTATTTAATTTCAGCTTATTTGATTCAAAAGACAAGATTCCCCTGCTGCTTCACAAAAGTGAGTTAACTACAGAAAATTATTACTTCAGGCTCATCAGATCTGAGGGCATCAAACCAGCTGCAGTAGGTTAGGTAAACTTGATAAAATGTTCAATTTACTTTAGATACTAAGCTTGGTAATCAACAATCAGTTACAGATTAGAGTCAAGCAGAGTGAAATATTATGAAAAGAAAGGTGAGACTGAATTGAATGTGTGATAAAGACAGACTGTATATAAAGGAGGGATGCAGCTAATGTGACATCAGCAGTGTTGGGATGTTACTTAAAAAGCTGCTGAATTACTCATTACTCATTACTTTTCTTAAAAGTAATGCAGTATGGTACCTAAGTACCACCTTGAAAGTAATTCATTACTTCCAAAATTACCACTTAACAATATAAACCTACAGGCTACACTGCCACACCAACACAAATCTCTACTCCTATGAAGACACACATACGTCCATCCATCCATACCCTTCTGCTGATCAAAGGCCGGGTCACGGGTGCAGCAGCCTAAGCAGAGAAGCCCAGACCTCC